TTTCTCAACTTGTGGTTGCATCACTTTCGCAAAACCTTGCGTTTGTCTCCTACGTTTCTGTGTCTTTGAATTCGATGTATTTGCAGCGTTCTCTGATGCTGGTGTGCGGTGGGCCCTGCTACTGAGCACTGTGTTGAATTGTCCTTTTATTGTGTTGCAGAAATATTGAAAAAGAGCTGTCCTTTGATTTCGGCCCTAATGCGGAGTTCACTTACTTGTACAGCCAGTGCTACGAACTTCCCACTAGCGAGTAAGTGAAACTAGCTTTTGCAATGATATTTTTGTGCCTTGATTAGGGCTGCACGGTGTTGAAATATTGACATGTTGCAATATTTAGTTTTTCTGTATATATTGTTATATGAAAGCCGTTTCACCAGATGATTTGATTAGCTCTATTTGGAAGGAATGATTGAGGTGATTTTAGGGAGGGAATCTGCATAGAAAAAAAATAAACAAATTACAAGCATTAGATAAAAAAAACAATAGAGCAAAGATAGAAATGAAATAAACAGTACTTTAGCCTATGTTTTTCAACTAAATCTAACTATTCAGGTACAGATATTGAATATAAATCAAATGTAAAACAACACTGCTTAGACTTCTTCACTGTATAAATTCAATATAATTAATCTTTGTTAAAGCCACAATATTTTGTTGTTTGATTAACATTTGATTGATTGACTCAGCAGCAGGTATAATAGGCTGCTGTCACTTTAAGAGCTAAAACACGGATCCAATTCAACGATATGCATCCATTTTCTTTGTCAATTGTTTACTGTGTTTACGAGGACACTCTCCAAGATTGGTATTTTAATATAGTTTTGTGTGTATGTGTCCGTTCAAGCACAAATAGAGGCGGAAGTGAACAGAATTCAGCGTTCAGAACAGAAGACAGCGTGCGAGTTCCGTAATCAGTTCTCTTTGGCGTCTTATTGCACTCGAATGGCTTAAAATCGCTTGAATGTTTAAACTGACAGGACCTAAAACAAATGCAAATGATAAACTTTCACTCTATGATGGTTAAACTTAGCAATTCATCAAAGTCACATGCGTACAGATCAACTACGATCCACTTGACATAGCACGTCCTCATGCGATTATCGTGGATGCACACATCGTGAGATCGGTGCTAAAATTATTTATTGTGCAGCCCTAGCTGTGATTGATTTTTATGTTGACTTGTGTGTTTGGTTTGCCTTCAGGTACATCTACAGACTCTGTCCTTTTAATCGGGTTTCACAGAAACCCAAGTATGGAGGCTCAGAGACCAACCTTGGGTAAGCGACATTAGGGGGAAAAAACATTAAAAAAAAAAGACGAGGTAGTTTTAGAAGGTTTTGGTTAGTATAAAAGAGTGAAAAATGAAGAGTTTTTTAGCAAAGATGCATTAAATTGATCAAAAGTAACAGTAAAGATTTTTATTTTACAAAAGATTTCAAATAAATGCTGTTCTTTTGAACTTTAGTTAGTTCAATATTGATAGTTATAAAAAATGTTTCTTGAGCAGCAAATTGGTATATTAAAATTATTTCTGAAGGGTCATGTGACTAAGTGAAGACTAGAGTAATGATGCTGAAAATTCAGCTTTGATCACAGGAATAAATTACATTTTTAAAGATAATAGAAAACAGGTGTTTTTAAATTGTAATAATATTTCACAATATTACTCTTTCTTTTTTCCTTTTTCTTTTTCACTGTATTTTTGGTCAAATAAATGCGTCCTTAGTGAGACTTTTGAGAACATTTTTTTCGAGAACATTAAAAAGTCTTACACACCCCAAACGGTTGAATGGTAGTAAATGTGCCTTATTGGTTGATATTAGCAATTTTACTTGTTTGTATCGACGGATATTTGATGTTTAAATGTTCATGCTCTTTTCCTTTACCTTTGCCATTTTCAAACACTCATTTAAAATGAATCTAAATGTTAAATCACAATAATAACACTGTTAAATGTTATCTGTTAATTGTAGAAAATCCCGTTTTTCATACTGTATATTTGATGCATCAGTAGGGGCTTTTGCAGCAGGTAGTTATAGGAAGTCAGTTCTGGGAACTAGCCACCAGGAAGGTCCCCCGAGAACAGAATTTCCCCCTAGGGCCATTTTCCTGATTGCATTCGCACCACCGGTAGGAACTCTGAAGTGATAACAGAAACGCCACGCGGCCTAAGAGGCTAAATCTCCTACGACATCTTGCAATGCTACATAGCATTTACCTGTCGCCTTTGTCTGTGTCGCCTGCCTTTGTCTGACATCCAGACGACGACAGAAATCTTTTAGACAACAATATAGAGCTTTTAAAGGGATACTCCACTTTTTTTGGAAATAGGCTTATTTTACAACTCCCCCAGAGTTAAACTGTTGAGTTTTACTGTTTTTGAATCAATTCAGCCGATCTCTGGTTCTGGCGGTACCACTTTTAGCATAGCTTAGCATACATCATTGAAGTGGACAAGACCATTAGCATTTCTCAAAAAAAAGACCAAAGTGTTTCGATATTTTTCCTATTTAAAACTTGACTCTTCTGTAGTTACATCGTGCACTAAGACCGACGGAAAATGTAAAGTTGCGATTTTCTAGGCTGATATGGCTAGGAACTATACTCTCATTCCTGCGTAATAATCAAGAAACTTTACTGCCGTACCATGAGTGCAGCAGGCGTAATGATATGACGCAGCGCCTGAAAATAGTCCCCAGCTCTTTAACTTCCAACGTGACCGGGACTAAGTGCCTGCGCCTGCTGCACTCATGGTACGGCAGTGAAGTTTCTTGATTATTACGCAGGAATGAGAGTATAGTTCCTAGCCATATCAGCCTAGAAAATCGCAACTTTACATTTTCCGTCGGTCTTAGTGCACGATGTAACTACAGAAGAGTCAAGTTTTAAATAGGAAAAATATCGAAACACTTTGGTCTTTTTTTTTGAGAAATGCTAATGGTCTTGTCCACTTCAATGATGTATGCTAAGCTATGCTAAAAGTTGTACCGCCAGAACCGGAGATCGGCTGAATGGATTCAAAAACGGTAAAACTCAACAGTTTAACTCTGGGGGAGTTGTAAAATAAGCCTATTTCCAAATAAAAGTGGAGTATCCCTTTAATATTGCCCATTTTACTGGTGTAAGCTTTCATTTAAAATGTAACATCTTTACCAACCAGCTAAACACCTGATTGGTAAGGCTTGGAAACCAGCTTAAACCCACTGAGATCAGCAAATCACCTTATAACAGGTTAAACAGTTTTTGCCACGTTATTTGTAGTCTCATGACGTGAGCGTTTTTGACCGTCTTTAATGAGCTCATGTTTGCAGGTCATGGGGAAGCTGGTCAGGGCCTGAAAATAATAAGTACTTGGTGATGAAATACGAGCAAGGCACTGGGTGCTGGCAAGGTCCAAGTAGATCAACTACAGTAAGTACTATTTCTTTTATTGCTTCCACCGTGCCATTCATACTAGGAGTTATTCTGCTAAGTGCATCTTTGTGTGGTAGGTGAAGCTGACCTGTGGGAAGGAGACGGTGGTGACCTCGACGTCGGAGCCGAGTCGCTGTGAATATCTGATGGAGTTCACCACTCCTGCAGTGTGCCAGGAGCCGACCAACATTGACCTCTCGCCACATGGCCACGAGGAGCTCTAGACTCTACGCTCTGCTTATTGAAGCATGGTGCGCCTCGTACTTATGCATACTTTTATTTTAGCTGTTTAAAACACTATTACTGGAAAAAAACAAGGCCTGGTTTTTCAAGAGACCTAAGTTATCATAGGGTCCAAATTGTTTTGATGTATTTTTGAGGTCTTGGTTTTGCCTGAGTGATGACAGTTTGCTGCCTGCTTTAAAAGATTCAGTTAGCCTTTGTTTGGGCTGAGTGCAACATCTTGAAGTGAATGTATTAAAACAACTGATTTAATTCTGCTGACAAGTCTGTATAAAATGAAATATTGCCTCGTTCCACTAAAGATTGCACCAACCCTGTGATCAACAACATTGTTTAATATGAAAATCTCTAAATATCTGGAACAAGTGTGGATGTCTCGGGTATTAAATACAAAAAAAGATAATCTTGTTTTGTTCTTAAAAGCCTGTGACCTTCTCCAGAATACAATTATCCTAGCTTGCAAATGTCCTGAAATCAGCTTTTCCATCCACACAGTGCATTATTATCAATTTATGAGCACAAAGTGCTGTGCATTGTTTTTTTATGTTCTTTTAAAAAAGCTTAAATGTTTGTGTGTGGTCTCAAATCAATATTAACTTTTTTCTCTCTCTCTCTTTCCTGTTCTGTAGGTCGTTGCTCTGTGGGAAGTTCTGGGAACTAATGAAGCTTCATTTCCTGTTCAAGCTGTTTAAGAACCTCTTCCATTATTTTTGGATCAGCTAAAAGAGGCTGGACGTTGGGAGAGCATTAAGTTTGGTACACTGTAATGTTTTTTTGTTGTTGTTTGTAACGGATTAATATCTGATCTCTTCACATTCCATTGATAATGTTGAAATAAATTCAGCTTCATATCTGAAAAATTGTTGCGACTTGTTGAAAAAAGACCTTAGTTGTGTCCCAAATGACTCACTAAACACTATATTCTATGCAATATGTACGATTTTTTTTAGATTTTGAAGTGTCCATCATTCCACACACACATTTGTCTGTGAATTAAAGGCTCGTTCGCACCAAGAGCGATAATTATATTGCCGTTCACTTCAGCAAACAATATCGTTTTGTTTATTATAAGCGAGCTGTCATTTTTTCGTCTGTCGCTTTAAATACTCAAGCTCAAGGATGGATTTTGTGATTGGCTGTCATTGTTTTTATCGTACACAACAGCTGGAAAAAATATCGTTTCTGTGCCGTTATCATTATAGTTGTGGTTTTCTTTTATATTCAGAACGATTTTTTAGAACTATATCTTTATCGTTATAGTTATCGTCCTTGGTGTGAACGGGCCGCCTTAAGTGCATCATCCAGGTATTTAAAATAAACATTTTCTTGTTGGAATTGTCAGTGTGAACACACCACTCACACTACAAAATGGTATCGAATAGTACAAAAGTACTTGTCTTTACTGTAGGAAATGGACAACCAGTTGACTAACTGGGGTTAATGTGGTAACACTTTACTTGAAGGGGTGTGCATAAGACTAACATGACACCTTCATAATCATGACATGACACATGTAATGAATATGAAGGAAGTTTTATGCATGTTTGTGACAACTGTCATTAAGTGTCATTCGCTCAATTATGACATTTTTATTGCAAATATGACATTGTTTGAGATGTCTTTGTTATGACACCTTGACATAAACCAATACATCATAACCTGTCAGTGTCTTTGTCATGACAACTTGACATTACTAAGACAACACAACCTGTCATAAATATGTCATAAACATGACCTAGCAGATTAATTATCAAACTTAAGAAACCACTTAGCTTTATTGGTTAACATGGTAACACTTTACTTGAAGGGGTGTACATAAGACTGACATGACACCTTCATAACCATGACATGACACATGTCATGAATATGAAGTAGGGTTTATGCATGTTTATGACAACTGTCATTAAGTGTCTTTCGCTCAATAATGACATTTTGAATGCAAATATGACATTGTTTAAGATGTCTTTATGACACCTTGACATAAACCATAACATCATAACCTGTCAGTGCCTTTGTTATGACAATTTGACATTAAATTAAGTTAAACTGTCATGTGGTTGGTTTTGACATTGGCTGTCATGAAGCCATTATAACTGTTTAATGACAAATTCAATTTGTACCACTGTAGTTGAGGTCACGAAAAATATTCATGACACAGTTATAATGGCCTTATGACAGCCAATGTCAAAACCAACCACATGACAGTTTAATGTAATTTAATGTCAAGTTGTCATGACAAAGACACTGACAGGTTATGGTTTATGTCAAGGTGTCATAAAGACATCTTAAACAATGTCATATTTGCATTCAAAATGTCATTATTGAGTGAAAGACACTTAATTACAGTTGTCATAAACATGCATAAACTCTACTTCATATTCATGACATATGTCATGTCATGGTTATGAAGGTGTCATGTCAGTCTTATGCACACCCCTTCAAGTAAAGTGTTACCGTTAAGGTTTTACACGCTCGACTATGATCTTTAGCATTATCTGTTGCTTATTGAAGTTGTGGACCATCAAGCTGTTTATTAACTTTACAGACAATGATAAAACTGGATAAAGGAATTTCATTTTGTCCCGAATGACTGCAGCAGCTTGTTCAAAACCCCTCCGAAAAAAAAAAGCACGCACAAAGAAAACAGAGATTCATATCGTTTATTTTTTTTCTGGCATGTAAAGTACAAATAATTAAACAATTCCATGAAAAAGTCCTCAAGCGTCTTCAGCTGAAATCCCAGTAATAAATATCCTAAACTAAACTGAAAGGTTTATTTATTTATTTTCCCCTTTGTTGTGTGTTTGTTCGTTTGTTCATGTTTGGAAGTATGAGATTTTTATTCGTGACACACAGACACTGAGATCATTTTGATCGTTTTTTTTTTTATTATTGTTGTTGTTCGTTTGTTTTATTCTGTTATTCCTGGAAAATGGTTTCAGAAGAACGTTGCTAAGTAACTCTGTGTCCCTCCTAAATTAACTGACACAAAATACAACTGGTTGAGAAACAGAGTGACCACTGACCCCTTTATCTAGCTCAGCGCCATCGCCTGTCCCATCTCCCCCGCTGCGCCCCCAACCCCCCAAACGACTCTATTATTTCCTAGACCGCTCTCTTAGTCGCTTCCACGGCTCTGTACGGCAGCGGGGTGAGGGGTGTTTGGCGAGGGACGCTGAGCCTAAGGCCTGGCTGCGGGACGAGAGCGTAGACCCGCCCCGGGCCCTGATTCACTATGGGGTTCTGATAGTGGCTGGAAAAACAAGACTGTGATTAGATTAAATAATCAAAACGTTTTCATATAACAAGACAAACAAAACACAGGCATTAAAGGCATAACATCTAGCACACAGCATGTATGTTTATACACTTCAATTAGTTTAATATAGCAGTGCATTCTTTGCCTATGGAGAACTTTTCCCAAATTGTAATTCTAAAGCAGTTTTTTTTTTGTTTTTTTTTTGTTTTGTTTTTTTAATCTATTTGTTCCCTTTAAAGAAAAACAAAAAAGGTGTAACCACATTTTGGCAAAATTAAAAGTATTTAAACTTGCAAATATAATGAAATAAACCATAAATATACACAAAACATACTTTCATACGAGGCAATAATAATAATCATAATAATGATAATAAATAGTTTTTAAGTTAACAATAAGTTAAAACTACAAGCTTAAAGTCGCCCAAATAATACAAGTTCATTGGCGCTATATTGATTTTTTTTTTTTCAGTTTAAATTATTTATGTTGCAACAAAAGCTACCACAGACTTTTACAAACACAATTAAACACATTTTGATTGAAAAGAAATAATTCTAACTAATTCTAAAACCTGCATACACTGTAAGAACGGCAACTAATTATAAATAATGGAAACAAATATAAGAAATCGTACCCAATAAAAGGAAACAAAACGAAATATTCGACCCACGTGTGTGTCCTCTATGGCAACATCAACAACACAAATACGCTAAGTTAACGTGTGATTCTGATATGTAAAGGAAATCAATAAATTACAGGAAAAATGATATTCTGAAATCAACATGGGCTAAAACCGATGATATTTTAGACGGTATTCCTTTCACGGTCTTTTAGATTTGCTCTTTTCGGTACCATAGACGGCTGTTTGTTTTAGCTTGCATGGTCAGAGCACTAATAAGGGGGCGGAGGAAGGGATAATGGACATGTTTAGAGACCAGAGCTCTTGGTGCTTGTTTGATTCTTCTAATGAATCTGTTAGTTAACACTTTTTTTTTTTTTTTTTCATTTTGTTGTTGTTCATTACATTTGATCCTTTCACTATTCTGCAAACCATTTCAGTGTGACGTTTAATTTCTTTTTTAAAAAATATATATATCTTTTGTTCTCAGTCAATATAAAAACGAAGCACATTGCACTTACTGTTCCATAGGAAAGTTTTTTTGTCTTTTTTTTAAAATGATTATTATTGAAGTTGCTCAAGCGGTGCAGTATGTTTGTTTCCTGCCATTGTCCTTGGCTCTCAGAGGGAATGGGGTAAGTGGTGTAGCTAAAGGGTTCGTTGGGACACTCAGCCAGAGGGACGACGCTAAAGACCCCCCCTTTCGGACGTCAGGCACACTACTGGGTTGCCCTGGTCACTATCTATCCCGTTGCTCATTTTAGAGGGTGGATGAATCTTTACATTTCGGATTGTTATTGTCTCCTCTAGGGCACACCACCAGGATGAGTTGCGCTAGCGAAAGAAAATTGTGTTGTTGTTAATGTGGCGTTGTAAGCTGAGAGGGGTTCAAGGTATATCACAGTTTTTATACAATGTGAATGGAAAGAGTTTAGAGACACTTTGATATGTTATAATATATGTGTGTGCGCGTGTAAGTGTGTGTGTGCGTGTGCGGTCACACTCTTGCTAAATGTTTCGGACTGACTATTTATTTTTTTCTTCCCTTCATCAGTGACAAAGCTAAAATCCCTTGGTTGGTTAGTGCTTGTGCATAGGAGCAAAATCAGGTGTTGATGATATGATGGTGGAATAGAGAAGATATGTGTTGCAGAAATTAAATAAACAAGAAAAAATGTAAACAGTAAAATGATAGACATTTGCCTTGTGTGGTGACATACTGGCGAATATAATTCACTATGGATTATTGTGTGAGATTTGATTACATTGATAAGTGCAGCTACATTGTATTGTCAATTTCTTAACTTTTTTTGGCGCACTGAAAATGCTGAAGCGTTAAGGTGATTCTTCTTTTTCGTCTTTTTGCCGATACGAGATGAAATGCTCTGGGTGTTCGATACCCAGATAGCACAAGTCTATTTGATGTGATGTTTACATCTGGAAGACGTATTTTTAAGAGTGTTGATCATCTGCAATACGTCTATAGGACGTTTCCTGTCAGATGTCAAATAGACGTTTAGAAGATGTCAGTTTAACATGCATTCTAAATCATTACATCTTAAAGACATCTTCTAAACATCTATTTGACATCTGACAGGAAACGTCCTATAGACGTATTGCAGATGAGCAAACACTCTTAAAAATACGTCTTCCAGATGTAAACATCACATCAAATAGACTTGTGCTATCTGGGATGTGACGCCATTTAGAGCTTCACTGCACCGTCATTGAAGCAACATTTTTCACTTTAGAGAAACCATAGCGTCTTTTTTTCTTGCGTAATGCATACATTTGCCTGTCTGCTGAATCTTTTTTGTTTGTTTTTGAATGTTTCGTATTTCTTTTTTTTGTATTTTTTGTATTTTTGAAAATGAAATGGTTTCACTGCATGTAAGTCTTAGTCCCCAACCCTCCGATCCCCTCCCTTTACACCGCAGACTGGCCCTCTCTCCCCAAAGTTGAAAACTCTGAAAATAAAAGCCATGCGGTGTGTCCAAAGATTTCCACGATTTAAGAATCTGTAAAAATGTCGCACAAGGTCTTGTTTTTTTTTCCGTAGATATAAAAATATATTAATCTCTAATGTAATCCTTTCAAAGAGATCATTGTCCTCTTTGGCTAACACAGCGTTATTTAGAAAAGCAAAATGTCACTTGATTTGAACACACATTTACATCTTTCAGTTCTTTTCTTCATATGATGTGAAGTTTTGCAATTTTTTACAGCAATGTCTCTCCCCATGGAACGGTTTAGTTTGTTTTATCACAGGGCTGTGGACAGCTTGGGCATTGTCGTTATTGTATCTAGGGAATTTTTCATTTCTCAAAATACTCAAATTATGAGTATTTTGAGAACAGATTCTCTCTTTTTTTTTTTTTAGCTCATGTGGCTGCGACTTGCTTAAAAGGGCCTTGAGGACACAAAATTAGATTTTATGTTTGATATGTAGCTGTTTTAGATATGCAGGGGCTGCTAAAAAACAGTTTGGGAAAAGCGAATAATAATGGGATTCCTTTTAGTGAATAGAGCTAAATGTATCTGAGAGGTTATGAAGAGCAAGGGCGACCAATCCCAGTGGCCCCTGACCTCCATAACGGCTCACATGTACGTCTCAAAGAGCTGACGCAGGGGCCTTTCCTATACTCTCAAGCCATTCAAAGCTGTTTAAAATCATCTAATACAGTTCTGGATTTTGCGGCTGGACTTCATATACCATCGCCATGGGAACACTGTCGAAATGCCCCTAGTTACACAGACAACTGCATGTGGTGGAATAGATTCTAAATTCTAACTATAAAACTCAGAGTGGAAAGATACAAGGAGATTCTAGGTCGCCATCTTTTGTAAAGTTTCGCTATTCCCTCCGGTGGAGGTCCGTATGTGCGTGTGTGTGTGTGTGTGTGTTGGTGTGCGAGTGTCTCTGTGATGAAAGTTGTCTTTCGGCGTGCTGAGGTGATTGTGATGACCCCCGGGTGACCTCTCGATTTGTGACTACCATCCACACAGTTTGTTCAGTTGCTGTTGGGTTTTGAACCTCGAGTAAGGTGTGTGTTTGGTGCCATAAGGCAAGGTTGCAACCTAATGTAGAGCCAGGAAACCGTATTCAAAGTTCTAGAAAATGCTTACATTTTTGGCTATTATAACCACCTTAAATGTTGAATATATAGTTATATCATAATATATATGAGAACACTGTTTTTAATCATTTTTCTCTTTAAAAAAAATCACTGATTCAAAATGCCCAAGTGTAAAAAAAGTGACTACATCCTCTGAAGCCAGACAGGAGAGTTACCGGGGCAATATTTTGGGTAAATTGCACATATTTGATTTGCTTTTTCTTTTTCTTTGACCAGTTCTTACTTTGCCTGAATTAAATTAAATCTCTGCAGACATTCTCTGTCACATTCATTAGACTGTCCCTCCTCATGGATTTCCCCAGCCTCGCTTCACACTTCTGCTAATTCAATACAGGCAAACATTGGGAAGGACTAGCATGTTGTGTTAAGAGAAAAGAAAAACAACTCTACTTGTGTATTTTTGTTCGAAACAACTAAACGCTTGTGTGTGTGTGTGTGTGTGTGTGTATATGTGTGTTAGAGAGAGACTCAGTCCAGGCCCATGTAGAGTGAATGTACAGGGAGCTCAGTAGCTCCCCCTACATGTTAAAGAGCAGTAGTGACTAGGCCTTCCTTCAAGCCTTGTGCTGCTTGCTGGTCTTGAAGGAGACCTGCAGGACACGGTCGCCCAAGCGGTAGCCGTTCAGGCTGGCGATAGCCATGGCTGCCTCGTCGTAGTTGGTCATGGTGACAAAGCCAAAGCCCTTACATTTGTTGGTGGTGAAGTCACGGATGACCTTGACGTTTGTGACGGCGCCGAACGGCCCGAAGAGCTGCCACAGGACGCTTTCGTCAGCTTCTGGGGACAGGTTGTAGACGAAGATGCACCAGCCAGCTCCAGTGGGCCCGGTCAGGTTGACGCCGGCTAGACTGGTCATGCTGTCAATGGTTATCGGGGAGAATCTGGGGAGGAAAGAAGGAGAGCTACCATGGGTGTCATTCTGAAGTTCAGCACAGCGTGCTTCTCATTACCACATGCTCCTGCCATTTTTGTCTCTTTGAGAAGCGGACGCTCGATCTCCACAGCCTATGTAAGAAAATGGCCAGCTATCATATTATCTAGTCATATTATCTGTTAGAAATAGTACACAGAATTCACAATGTTCAACAAAATCACGATACTAAGCAAAACAGAAACCTAGAGAGGGATGAAGGCAAATCAGAAACAAATCAACAGAAAATTGGAACGAACAGAGGAGACGCAAACGGAACCTTGTATGTCCATGCTGGTGGAAAAAAAGAACATTAAAGCAACCAAAACTGAAAAAAAAAATAATGTTAGTTCAATACAGAAATACAGTTTGATCAAGGAATCAACCAAAAGAACAAAAAGGTTCAACAAAGCCATGCCAGAATGTCCTGCTGTGATGTCAGCTAAGTCAATCTAGTCTACTGAAATGGTGTTTTCTCAAATCAATCTCTAATGTGAATCCTTAAGCCAGCAGGTGGTATTCCGGGCACTTTGTTTGAGCTTGTTTAGGCATGGATGCTTTTGAAAGGACACCTTTTTTTAAAAATTACCTCTTGACTCCGTAGCTGGCGTTTAGTAAATTGTCGAGTCTGCAATGCAAGAGGGAGAGTGACGGAGGTGAAGATATTAGTTGCAAGATCCAACAACCAGAGCAAAGCGTTTTCATGGAGCCACTTCAGCCACCAGGGGGAGCTCTTTACCGGGCACCGCATCCACCAATCAGCAGGCGCGGCTCGCCCATGGCACTGAATGCATTCTGAATGCATCCGTGCCGTGACTGATTCACGCAGCCTGTGTTTTATCTCTTAAGCAAGACAGTTCTTTTAAAAATGTACACACTGCCTCAGTTAGACCCATTGTGATTTGTCAATCCCCCTGATGGCGTGAACGTGCTGCGGTTTAAAGGAAAACCGTCACAGGGAGAGTAGGCAGCGGTAGGGGTGTGGGCTGAGGGTGGAGGCAGTACCTGAAGCGTTGAGTCTGGTGGTGCAGAGGGCCGGTGTAGCGGCGAGCAGCTGTCTGGTAAAGCTGGGTGAGCAGGGCCTGTCCCGTCTTCTGACTGGGGTTGTTGGCGAACTTCACGGTGATGGGCTCGGCGGCACCCAGCGGCTTTTGACCGTTCAGGCCTTTGATGGCCTCCTCTGCCTCATTTCGTTTATCGAACCGAATGAAACCTACTCCGCGCGATATACCTGCTCCGGACAGAAAGCGACGTAATGTAAGCACCGTGAATTTAAAAAAAATGGCAGATAAGTGAGTCATGTGGACACAGGGATAAACCAGACTTTATACTATAGTGCTTTATGATCTACTCTATAAAGCAGACAAAGAAAAATGTTAATGTAAACATGCAGAATTTTTTTTTTATTACAGTATAGTTAAAGAGAAATAAATATGGGCTGGACTTCCATTTGGAATTTGGCTTTTGGTTAACACAAAATTTGTTCAAACTATATAGCCATTAAAAAAACAATGTAGATTTTAAACCCTGAAGACGAAAATAGCGGGGAAAAACATCAAACTTAACCAGTTTTCCCCTACAATTAAATCTAACGCATGCTAAAATTGTCTTCATACCTCTGTTAAAATCTCAGAAAATTTAGTTTAGGGTTGCATGACCCTTTAAAGAGAATGAAATATGGGTGGGACTTCCATTGGGAATTTGGCTTTTGATTAACATTTATTCAAACTATATAGCCATTAAAAAAAGACAAATGACTACAACTTTAAAAATAATAATAGTAATAATTCAAAATATTATTAAAAACTACAATACTATTTCAATGATACTAAATGAACACTGCCAAGAACGTGCATTAAAAATGTAAATGGGGTCAGTTTTGAGTTCATGTTGACTGTGAAGCATAGCCTACCCCAATTTTTTTTTTTTTTTTTTTTGCGTCACATCCAGAGCTTTAATTAGATTTGCAATCCTCCCCCAGGGTGCGTACGCTGTTTGTGGAAGTGAGGTAACGTTTACCTGTGACCTGGTCTACCAGGATGCGTGAGGTGATGATCCTTCCATACTGGGAAAACAACTGCTCCATGTCTTTCTGACTCATGGTTTTGGGCAGCCCGCTCACATACAGGTTGGCATCGCGTATGGAAGCTGAGCTGGGTCTGGCGTAGGACACCTACACAAAAGAAAATTGGAGCTGCAGTTTAGGATTTGTAACATTATTAAGAAGCATGCATCAAGACAGCTGTGACAGTCCTAAAACTCCCAGCAGTGCAAAACTTTCAAGTGTAGTCGAGGCGGATATGTCACTGCAGTGCCACGCTCAAAGGCGAGACATCCGCCCACTCTCTCTTATCCCTCCTTCCTTGAAATCCACGTCTCTTATGCGCACTTCACTCGAACCAAACCCGGTTCCCTTATTAAACACTACTTCAGCTTCGCAGTGCTCCTGACAGCAGAAACACGAACCCACTCTGACATTCACACTCCCCCACCCCCCAAGACACTTCGACACCCTCTGAGCTGATTTGAGACCAGCTCCCTCAGGGAGTCGCGAGGAAAATTTGATATCATGGGCTGTTTCTCTAGCCGGTGATTTTCCACTAGACAGCAGCATTTAGAACCTGTTCCACTTTGGGATGTGTCATGTAATATAAAGTCCAATTAGGCATTTGTTTTGACGTTCAAATATTCATCTCATTTTTATATTCCCCTCTATATTTCCTAAAAATCCCCCACCGAGCCGTCTTAGTCGTATTTGAGATGCGAACAGATTTTTCTCATAAAATATGTATATTTATGAGTTTCTGGTGGAAAGGGGCTGACTTTGATTGATGGTGTCAGTGTGTGCGCATGTGTTTTTTTGAGATAAAGAGATTGGCCCCCTCCTTCTTCTCCATCTCTCCTTTGTCTTCTCTCTCAAGGGGAAACTGCTCCTCTGGCAACCGGCAAACCAAGTAAACAGATTACAAGATGTCCAGCGTCCCTGACAACTCTCTAACACGCCCTCACTAAATACCCAATAAAAAAAAAAAAGCAAATCAAATAAAAAGCTCAATACCAATTCATGCTAATGGAACAGCATCATCCTCACTTTCCAAAAACTCTCGATGTTTTCATTCAACAGTATTACACATACAAATACTTCTCATTTATATGTGGACATGTTATATTATTATACAAAAACTGTACTACCTTTACTCTATTTAAAAAAAATCTTATATTTTTAAAAAGAAATTATATTTTTTCCTACTTTTGTATTTTATTCATTTTTCTATTATCTCTTTTTACTTATACTTTTTATTATCTTTCCAAAAAATATATATGTCATAGTCTTTGTTCCAATGGTCTTTTTGATGTAAATTAATTTACCATAACATAATGTAATTTAATAGAATATATTTGCGTTTTTTATTATTTTTCTAAACATCTATATTGCCTTAAAGCCTTACACTCATTTTACCCCCCACTTATTTACTAATATATTTTTTATTTAACTCATTTGCCTTTATATTGTATATAATTTAATCGATCTAAATTCAATTTTAAAAAGTTTATTATTTTTTCCTAACATTTATATTGCCTTAAAGCTTTATAAAGCTTAACCCTTTATAACCCTAACCCTATCCTGTTTCCAATGCTCTTTTTACTGATTTAATTTATTTCTGTCTTTTAACCACTCTAGAACAAAGCATTTAATTTCACAGATTTTAACATGTTGACCTTTTATGTGTGCGATTTACAGCAAAAAAAAAAAAAAAAAAAGTAAAGCGAGTAAACTTGTTTTTATAATAAATAGGAGTCTATTTTAAACGTGTTCAAGACATTTTACAACGCCCAGTCAAGTTATAGCATGCTTCTTCGCCATCAGACCTTGGCAGAATGATGTGTTTTTCCACCATATGCGTGTTTGAGTCTTGCAGGCCAGTATGACTAAGCAGCGGTATTGTTGAGGTAGGGGTGTAATTGTGCAGTGAGTGGGTGAGTATACAGCAGAGACTGGAGGGGGGAGCTCTATTGGAGGGATGGGATGCTGCCCCATAATTAACCCTCTCCCTCTCTCTCCCACAGTACAGATGGTGCCTGCAGCCCATATGGCTCCTAATCCTGTCATTGGCATTCGGCTCCCTCCTAGCCTTTGCTACTGCGCCCCGTCACCCTCCCTTCCTCCCTCCTTCCCTCGCTCCCTCCCATCCCCGCTATCGTCTCTACCTTTCTAACAATGCCGTATTGACATGGAAAATATGACATTTGCCCAGCTTAAGGATTTGAGGGCAGTGGGCGCACGAACGTTGAATGTCAGAGAACGATGCTGGATGAATGCACTGAACAAACAAGACGATTAGGACCATAGCAATCGGTTTAAATAACTACGCCAATAATGTTCGCCCATGGCCTGCAGTCATTATTCACTGGAATAACAGTGCGTAGTTAGACTATGTTTTGCTAAAGATTATAAGGAATGAAACTGCTCTGTATGCATGCCTATATCATACAATTTACATCTACAGTATATCTCCAATATGAATGCATGCAAGCACACGCTAAGTCCGCAGAAGCTGCGGATTTTGTTGCGATCTTTGATGTGCGGTGATCAGGTGGAGAAGCGGGCCGACTGTTTAATCTCTCACTTTCAGAAGCCCTAGCAGACCTTTCCCCACCCCAAAACCCAGCTGAATTGGGGACAAAGAAGACCCTAATTAGCCAAGATTGGAGGCAGATGGGGCTCTCCTCGCTGACCTCCAAGCCTCAGATTGCGTCTCCCTAATTACATTTCCATCACAATCACCTCTGCACACAACCCTTTGCTTTCTGACCTCCACTTTCTCTTTTCTTCTGCTCCTTTTGTCCCCGCCACGATTCGTCCCACCGCCCCTCCCTTTCACCTCCCCTCCTGCTGTCACGTCTGTCTTGGGCTCTGCTTCATTCCCTACTTCATCCCCATCGAGCGATTTGAGGAGCTTGGGCTCGGTGAGGACGGGGTTCTCTTACTTTGATTGTTTTGGTCTGCAGTTTGAGACCATTGAGCGTGTTGATGGCCTTGTCGGCATCATTGGGATCCACGTAGTTTACGAAGCCGTAACCCAAACTCTGGCCTGCAATAAGACAAACAAGAATGCACTTGAAAACCACCCTTTAATGCAAAACATGTCCTACCGAATCAAGATATGCCGCATTGTTACCTGTGATCTTGTCTCGGACTAGTTTGCAGGACTCGATTTCTCCGATACTGCCGAACAGGCTCTTGAACTCCTCCTGGGTCATGTTCTGAGGCAGGTAGTTGACAATCAGGTTGGTTTTGCTGTCGTCCGCAGCACCGTTAGTGCTAATGACGGGGCCGTTTGGCAGGCTGTTTCCGCTCGGACCATTGGACACCTGAGTTTCCATGGTGCTAATTATCTGCAGGTGGAAAAATGACAAATTAAGACTAAGTTTGGGTGAAAACGCATAATTTGAGGGGCGTCCTCGTTGAGAGGTTCAAAATCAATGCGTCTGAGGGGTAGAGGGCTGGAGGAGAACAATATCCCACCTCCCCTCCTCCTATGACCTCCTCCCTCACTTCAACTCTCTCCATCAGCCCCTGGCCCTGCAGATGTCACAGTCCTTTCGCTCTTTCCCAGCCCCCCTTTATGCTATCCAGGGTCAAACAGCGTTACATCACTAGCCTCTGAGAGGACGACGGCGTGGGCATGAGGATAGTTGTCATTTCAACTTTGCTAACAGAATTTTTCTTATTTCTTTAAAAAAAAAATGGTAGTCTAGACGAATAAAGATGAGAAGATGGCGTTTGCACCTTGTTTATGTGAAAAGCGTGAGAGTGTGTGTGCGCGTCTGGGTCTTCGGTTCATCCGTGTTGCTGTGGAGCACATGATGTTTAATTTGGCCTATAGGGGATTTTCAACGAACAGATGTATGCAGGTTGTAGACGCTACTTCTGTCTTTAACGGTCCCTTTCTGTCACAACTCACGACTGGATTTCTCCTCATCGTACCGCAAGCGATCCGTCCTTCTTTTTCTTTGGTGACTTTTTATGTTGATTTTTTTAAAACATTTTCCCCAAGGCTGGTACTCTCTAGAATTTACAAATTGGCATGTGTAATATATGTTCATATATTAGTCATCGTAAGTTGACTGAAAGCACTCTTCCCTCGGAACGGCCCCTGGGGTGGAACAGGGTGTCTTAATTAACAATGCATCCGTGAATTTTTTTTTTTTTTTTTTTTTTGGATCCCCACAATCAACAGGCACAATAATATGCCACAAGTGTCCCTCTATGTTTTAACACTCTCAGGGGAAAAAAAAGGTACAAAAGCTGTCACTGGGCTGTTACCTTTTCAAAAGGACCTATGTACCATTTAGGTACCAATATGCACCCTTTATATGTTCCTTATGAAGGTACCAGCCCAGTGACAGCTTTTTGTACCTTTTTTTCTGAGAGTGTATGATGCAAATAATTAATTACAGGAATGCAATTGGAAATAAATGAAATGATAATGATATCCAATTAAGCATAAACGATCAGATGCGCAAACAGGTGAATTCCTAATAGTGTGGGAAGTCTGTTCTTTTGTTCTCCCTTCAGTATTGCCTCTCTGTAACGCTCTCTGTCTCTTCAGTGGAATGATTTATTCTTGCCTTGAGCCTTACCTCTAACCAGGTTGCCCAGGTAACAGCAGCTTGACGACTGTTGCTAATGGCTGGCTTCTTGACTTTTAGCAAACCTCACACATATGTGTGTGCATGTCATATGTGCACTTGGAGTTGTGTGTTCGAGAACTAGTGCTCGGTTAAAAATCACTTTTTGTCTCGCATTAATAAAATAAGCTTTCGGGGCCGCCAGAATTTATATCTCAGTCAGGCAAATTGACACTGACAAGGAGAAAGCTCAGGGAGGAGAGTTATTAAAGCGCTGCAAACATGGATCTAGGCAAAACTGACAATTTTACTGCCACCCGAGCAGGAATTTCCAAGAAATGGTTGTTCGTTTGATCAATCAAATAGCGATGAAAATGGCATCTTTTGTGGCAATAGCCCATAGCCTGTATAGTTCAGGAACTATCTCGGGTTCAGAATGTAAACCTACCCAAACAGGCGCTGTCTAAGCATTGACACAAACAGAGCGAGTCTTGACACAATGTGACAGGATCAGGGCAAATGTGATTCGTGAACTGAAGCAAACCTCCCTATGGCAAGCCACCCATCCTCAGCGACGAATGTAGTGAGTTACACAACGCACAGGCTCTTCGGCCACACAGACTGACACGTACACTGTCTTACAGCCCAGATACTGTCGCCAGCACAGCAGAGGTAGAGGTGGATCCCAAAATACATGACTCGCAGAGACAGGCGAGAGACTCCTTCCACTGTGCTCCTTTAGCATCACACACCTTATCAACTGTCCCTGAATTTTACGTTATTAAAAATAGGGCTTACGAAACAAAACGTGGCTACGGAAGCAGGCTCTGACGTTCCTGTCCCAGCCTGTACTTTTCTATTTCTGGTAGAGTTCTCCCTCAATATTTAATGCACTGCATCAGCATCGCCTACACAAGGACCCAGACTCACACGCAAACAAGAGCCCTGCATCTCGTCTACGCAAAACCTATTACCTTCCCACCAGCGCACTGATCAGGATAAATGACTGCAAAGATTCCTCTTAGTGAGTCTGTAATTAGAGTCTGCTGAAATGACCGTCAAGCCTTGACAGTCAGACAGAAGGGGAAATTTCATTTGATTTTTCCCTGAAAAATGTCACAATACACCAAATGTAAGAAGCCACTTGGTTGAACTGCTGCCATATTTGTTAGATGGAATAAAAATCTAGTTTAATTAAAAGTTAAAATACATTTCCATTATCTACAGTCATAAACGCATCATGCCAGAGAACGCTATTTGCAAACAGGCCTGAAAGCAGCGTGAGATAAAGAGCAATCCGACTGTGAAGACTATCGGCTCACGTCACTTCCTTAATGTCCCTGTGCAGTGAGTGAGGAAGCCATTTTCTTAAAATAAACACAGTCTTGCACAAGATCCGGCGAGGTAAACAAATAAAGCACAAGGCTGATCTAATCTGTAGCTGTATGTATCATGTCAACGTTAATTTTCAGACTGCCAGGGTCAGCCAGCGATTCCCAGCATTTTCTGTTAACGTTAGGCTGTGGAAAATAATGAATCCGTATTCGTGACATTTCTGATGCCTAATGCAGACCTTAATTTTGATCATTTGTATTTCATAAGCGTACGTGTCTGGACGAGCCTCCTGACTGAAATGTGAACGCTGGATTGCCAATAGGCTGTTTCAGTAACAGATTACAGGATTATCTTAAACAAAAGGCATTAGCCACACTCTCACTGCAGCTTAAGGGATCACAGTGGCAGCTGTAAAACAACAGGACATAAGTCAAAACTGAACGGATAAACCATTATCTTTTTTTTTTTTTTTTACCTGTGAATTGGGTTAATTTCGCTCGTGAAATTTGCTGCGCGAAAGATCATCGACTTATCGCGTGAATGCACAATTATTTCTTATTTTCCCTAATAGCGTTATTTTTTTCCTAATTTATTTACTATTTTAAATTATTAGTAATTTTGCAAGAACGCCAGAGAACGTTTAACAGAGGGAAAGGCGCTAGCAGTGTTCATGCTACTCTCTGGTGGTCGCTATCCAGAGTGCTGAATTCGGGAGTGGCTCGACATGGACAACAACCTTCAAAATATCCTTGGTGCCGCGGACTTGATTTTATCAAGTGGACATTAAGCTCTTGATGTCGTCTTTATAAATAAACACCTCTACGAATCGTTTAAAATCGTTATCCTCTCGTCCTTTGATTGGACAAGTGCGCGTGTGCTCTGTGGGCATTCACAAATCCGAGCTCCTTTTTGCTGAATAAACGTATTGACACAAGCGAACAAAAGAGCCACCCGTTCCTCCTCTACAGAGACCATGGCAGCACTATGAATATTAATGTAAACAGTAGCGCTTTGTGTCGAGGCCAGAGGCTGCGGGACTCTCCGGGAACAATGAACATTGCAACTGCCTTCACTTTAACTTATTCTACAAGACAATTTAATAATAACAATAATAATAATAATACAGCAAACATAATAAAAAATAGCTCATATACATTTAAACATCAATAATGTCATTCAATAAATGCCTATAGCTAGTCTTTCATTTATAATAATAATAATTTTAACTTAAATGGCCTGGTCGTAATATTTAGAAGTTAATGTCATTATTGTGCCTATAAAATCAGTGTATGTAGGCCTACTGTATAATGAGCGGCTCGATTCACAATTAGACGAGGCCTGTGGCTGTGATCCTATAACGTGCGTAACGCCCCTGACAGTTTAAATACTGTCCAGCATAACGTTTTTTTTTAAACGCCGTATTTTTCTTTGATTGACAACACTCTTTATTAACGGTTAGTGAGGAGCTCGTACGTTTAGACTGTTGTGTTGTGTTGTGTATCGTTGTGATGTCCTTGTCCTTGAATTGTGTACGCGCCTGGAGAAGGTTATCTGACTCAACGGTTTTATGTGCTTGGCACTGCGGTAGAGGCTCGTGCTCACGGAGGACTGCGGAACAACAAGCCGAAGGGCCCCTCGTTCATTCATCACACCATCTATTGAGAATTTAAATGAAAGGGAAGCGCGTCGTTTCGTATCGCCTTTTGTTTGAGGTCACTATAAAACAAGGCAGGCTTCACAGCAGACAATTTGCCAGGAACAGAGGCCTCTAACCTCAAACGCAAAATGACAGGTGGTTTGTGTGATTTTTTTTTTTATAGTATTAAATTAATAATTACAAATTGAGTCTTCATTGTAACGAATCTAGCGTTTAGTATTAGCTATCACGTCTTCTGGCAAGAAACAAAGACGATTGACCTGACAATACGCTTCACGTACAGCAGGCCTGAAGAGTTAAACGTCATAAATTAATCCTAACATTTTAATCGCTCATTCATGGATGCGTTTCAAACACCTGTTCGTATTTGCATGAGCTGTTGTTATTGTTTTCACAGAAAATCTACGTGAAGATGGTGACTCTGAGCTCGTGCCATCGCTGTCTTCTTCTCGAGAAGACACGCCCAAAACGCTTTCCCTCAGGCCTTTGTATTCCCCTCATATTGCTTATTTACACTCTCAGTGTCGTTATATTGGTGTAGAGAAAAGGACGGAAACGCAACTCGAGAAGAAATCGCAAGAAATCGATGACATTTGGCCGTTTCCATACGTGACATTTGGCCGTTTCCTCTCTCGCGATCTCTTATGTAGCATCGCAAGCCTTAGGAATTTTGTCCTGCCTGATTCAATCCAAACCAGTGGATGCATAATATCTCCCCTCCCCCTCTGAGTGACTCGACCCTTTTCTTTGCCTTTGCTCTCGATGGGCTCTCAGCCTCCGAGGCATCGTGTTTTGTCTCAGAGATTCAGTCTCGGGCATCCTTTCTGAACGAGGCATCTGCCCTCTTACGCCCTTCTGCCTCCGCCGCACCTCAGCTATTTCGGAGGAATTCCTCAGCGCTCTATGTTAATAATGGCTAATTATCGCTTGAATGCGTTTAATTAACGGATGTGGATAATAAATGCATGTTGCAAAGGGTTTCGCGTATTACGCATTACGATTCAAGACGAATGGTTCGTACGGCTGGAGAAAGCAATGTTTTGATTCCCCTTCAGAAAACGAAGCGAGCTCGGCTATAGCGATGCTCGCGCATGCCTGTATCACATTACTTAAATCCTGGGCTAATCGTTAATCTTATTTACGGAATCCGCGATTAGATGTGCTAGTATGTTTGCGTTTTTGACCAAATGCTGTGTATAGCCTATTATTTGATTCGCTTGTGCCTATATTTTAAGATGAATTTTAATGTCTAATTAGCCTATATTTTTGCTTTCTCAGTTTGAAGGTCTTGCACAGATTGTAGTAGCTACATGCTGTGAGGCTGTTAAAATTGATTTTCTGGTGGTGCTATTATTGTTTTGTTATGAGACAGACCAAAAAAAAAAAAAATGAAGAGGAAGAGAGAAGGTATACGTACAGTAACCATTCTTGATGTACAAAGATGATAGTGATCTAGGTCCTTCGATTTGCAGGTCTTCAGGCCGACTCGCAGAGATATTACGCCGTGGTGTGGCTCGAGAAATGCAGATGTCAGTTTTCCAAACGAAAAGAAAAAAAAAAGAAAAAGGAAAAACGACAGTCTTCGCCCAGGAAATCTCAGCCCGTGCGATTGTAGGTTTCCTCAGTAGTGTGAAAATGAGGAGAAGGGGGTTTTCTTCAGGATGATGATGAGAGAGAGATTTCTCTCCGTGTGGCGTGGGCGATGGTTCAGAAAAAAAGAGAAGCAGTGATCCCCAGTAGGGTGTGTCCAGGGGAGGGTGTTGTGGATCTGCTGTTGTGTGTGTATTTCCCAGCTCCTCGCAGGCTCCTTCTGTGCCTCTGCTGCAATGTTCTTCTTTTATGTGTCCTTCTGGCTGGCAGAGCTTGCTGCTGATTGGCTAATTGCGCAGGGAGGGTACTACATGGCAGCCATTGCAATGCGCTCCTCTCCCATTATCCCCTTCAGGAGAGATCACCGAGAGCCCCCCGTCCCTCCACCCCCACCACCATCTCTCCACTCTTTCCTCTTGCCCTCCCTTTCTTCCTGCCCCCCAACACGCATGCAGAGCTGAGTGAATAGAGCTCCACCTGCACTCCGAACAGATGGGTGCAGAAAAAGACAGGAGCCATGCTTTCTCCTTCTCTTTGCCCCTCTCTCTTTCTCTCTCTCTCTCTCATCCCCTTACTCATGCCTCAGTTTTTTTTTCCTTTCTTGATTTCACATTATTTGTCCTTGTAGCACAGCCCTTCTTCTCAGATTCCGTCCTGTAGTCTGGCATGCTGCATTTTCTAGGAAAGCTGAGTAAATGGCGTGAGTAAATCTTGCCATTTGTTTAAAAACGAGAATGCACAACGGCCGTGCGAAGGCATAACTGTGTGAAGGTCATTTCTGGACATAACACGGCCCACTGTTTAAATACCCTAACCATTTATATATTAGCATGCCAGGTGCGTGTTGAATGCGTAGATTACATAATCACACAAAGGCCAATGCCTACAATGAGAAAAATCGTCTTATTTATCATACAATATGGATTAAGACATCATCTTGGGTGTCAGTGTCATATAGATGTCACACATTATTAATTGTTGTTGTTGTATAATCGCAGGCAAAAACAATGAAATCAGAGATTTTAGAATGAATGCACACGTCTCCATATTGTCCTCATTGGTGCTGATTTTAAACATCGACACACTGATTGCAGCAGTTGTTATCTCAAGCCCCCCCCCCCCATTTCCAGTCTAGGGAGTGGGTAGAGCTCACTGAGACAGGCTGTTTGGTCTCATCTATAATGCATCTCCTGCCCCAGGACTTGATGTGTGACAAATGACCTATTTCTGCACAGACCCCCACAGGGCATTGACCTGAGGAAGCAAGCTCGGTATATCTCTTGCTATGCGGATGATGCTGGCAGTTTCATAGGTGCGAGTCTCCGCTGTGTCTGTATGGGTGAAGTTGGAGGAGATGGTTGCAGAGTAGGCTTATGGAAATATACGCTTCGCTGATGAGGTGTGAGGGGGTTGTCATTCCCACTAGAGGATGGTGTTTATTTTCGTCTGTTTATATGCGCGCCGGAGACCACGGGTCGCTGGAACTCACCTACATCTGCATCGGCCTTGGATGACCTTGTGGAAATGGTTGTGTGTGCGCGTCTTCGGCTGGAGTTCTCTGTATTTATGCAGATTGTAGACAGTCACAGCGCAGGTATCAGGAGTCAGAGAGGTACCGAGTGGGTGGTATTGTCGTTGGCGGGCAAATGCGCTGTAATGCAGATCAGAAAAACAGCATTTTCTCATTGTGTCTGCTGTGAGTAATATACACAATTATATATATTTTGGCTGATGAGTTCTTAGGAAATCATCTGAGATGGGCTGAGTGGGCAGATGCGTTCAAACTCGTTAACCTTTCGGTAATCTCGGGTGCGCCGAGCGTTGTGCATTTCTGGGTTAGGGGTTAACAGTTAAGGCCAAGCATTCTCCAGTAATCTTGACTCAATCGGGGCGCTCTGACATGGATTGCGATGCCTCGCTCTGCTGCCTTTCGTCCTCCTCTCTCATGCTCCCTTTCACTTTCAGTTCTTCTTCCTCTCGGTTCTTGTCCCGCATCTCTACCCCAGTCAGATTCTGAGTGTGGGCCCTGTCTGATATTTTACATAATTGCCTTACATAAGTAGCCAGCTCAGCGCAGAGCTTGGATGATATTAGTGGCGATGAATATTGCATGAGGAAGGCACTCGTTAAGCGTTAATAAGAGGATCGAGATGGGCCCCGCTGTCAGTCTGTCTTAACCCCGCCCACTCTCCTCAGTCAAGTCGCGACTTTCCTCAGAGTGGCGACCGAGTGAGGGGGAAAGATTGCGCCATTAGGTGCGGGTGTTGTTTTCTGCTTTGTGAGCTGAATAAAGGCAGCACTTGTGGCACAAAGAGAACAGGTCTGTTAGCTGCCCACGGTTCTGCACACACACACCCCGTTCACACTTAACGTGTATAAACCAGCTTAATTGCGGAGGCTCATTAGGGGTCTTTGCTGGCAGTGGGGCGACTGAATCCAGCCCGTGGGTAAGAGGGCATCTGAAGCACCTATTCACAACCCTGATTCAGAGGATCAAGCATGGCAGTTGCTTGAAGCTCTTTCAGTAATTTCACTGATGATTTTTAATGTTCAGGAGCCCCATCCAGAAGAGCCGATTAAGAGACTGGTGCTTTTGTCCCCCGTAGCATTAGAGCATAAGAGATTCTAAGGCTCTCTTTTGCTCTTTCAAATATCATTGATTTTCGTCACTTTTTATGGCCATCCAAATGTGGTTGTTGGTGAGATCACTGGTGGAGGAAACAAGGAACTATACACTTGTTTTTTGCATTTGCAAATTGTGGATTTACATTCATGGGAAGAAAGCATGTTATGATCGCGCTGAATCTGCTTAGCACCAGCGCAGGAGATATGATTGTGTGAAACAGATGTGTTCCATTGCTACAGCTAGTGTTATCCCGCTTATTATGTTCTGAGGTAACGGATTAGAATGGCTCAAATGTCTGCGCTAAAGAAGATTTCTCATGGATTTGTATTGCCAATTGGCAGTCTTTTAAAATGGCTTAATTTGTATAAAGATATTCGATGATGTTATTCCTTACTTTAAAATGTGCTTATGTTACATATGAGTTTGCATAAAATACATGCAAATGAAACCAAACATGGTTCAGATCAATAATGAATCAGTTTAATGATTATTTCATTTCAATATCATCCGTATCATGACCACTGCAGAATACTCTTGAATATTCTCTCCGGTGCTTTTTTTCCAGTGCTTCAATATTAGTTCTATCTCTTTTACAGACATTAGGGGTGTAACGGTTCACAAAATTCACGGTTCGGTTCGATACGATACACTTGTGCCACGGTTCGGTTCGGTACGGTTCGGTACGTTTTCAATGCAGCAAAAAGAAAGAAATGCCAGAGAAATTTCCTTGATTTTTTTTTACTTATATTTTTATTAAAACTAACATCATAAAGTATGATATATTTTTTTACTTTGAGCAATGATGGAGCTATACTTGACTTTTCTTAGGAGCATATAAAACAAAACAGCTCCTTGGACAAAATGAAATGTAATATTGTAGTAGTTATAGGTTTATAGTTCAGATTAACATTTGAGGGCAGCAATTGTATTCATACTGTCAAAATAAAACCGACGTAATGTTACTTGAAAGCATTATAGCCTACTATTCCTGCCACACTTCCATGGTTACAGTTAGTAGTGTTACTACAGTAAACCCATGGTGAATGTTGCTGATCTGTGGACACTGGATAGTTCATTCATGGCACAATGTTTCTTCCTGGTTTCCACGTCAGCGCTGTTTGATCCGTTAATAACGGAGAAATGTGAATGTTTCTCACTAGATCTCGCAGCGATGTTATTATTTCAAGTTCAATAGCGAATTCAAATGCTTTCTTTACTGAATGTCTCAGCGCTGTCTGTGTAGTAACAGAGATCGGCTCGCGCTGCCTTGGTCCAAACTGATAAACGCTCCGTCAACCACACAATAACGAGTGGTTTCGTTCCGCTTACATTACATTTGCCATTTGATGTTGGCCAATGTTGTGGTCGCGCCAGCATCTGGAGTGCGCTTGCCATGCGCAACGCGCGGCGCGCGCCTACATTTAAAATAACGAAATTTTGATCGGCAGGAAAAATGTTACAACGAACCGTTCGGTTTGAAAATGCGTACCGAAAAACCGAACCGAAAGCCTCGTACCGAACGGTTCGATACGAATACGCGTATCGTTACACCCCTAACAGACATCTTATGAATTAACACTCTTGAGTACTACATTTCAGCATAATTTGGACTTCTGCTCACATGCTGAAAGCGGTAGCACAGGATGTAAGAACATATAATGAAGAGGAATCTCATTACCCAGCTATGCTGAGCGTGACGGCTCATATAATCATAGTCAATTCACTGTTTGGCATTTGTTATGACAGTATATCATAAAGGGTCCTGACTCATAGGATGCTGTTCTGTTGAGTTTATATGTAACTTGGTGACACCTACAGAAATATGCGCAAGCTGTAAATCGCACTAGTCAAAGTGCACCTTAAATATACATACAGTGGGGTCCAAAAGTATGAGACCACTTGGAAATCTGAGATGATTTTCAATTAAACTTCTAATGGATTTAAACCAAAAAAATGTTATGATGTCAAATGGACAATAAATTCAGATTCTGAAATAAATCTGTGACATTCATCATGACTCTTTGTACAGATGGTTGACATACTGTGCAGTTCATGCAGCTTTAGTGCCAATGCCATTAAGGCAAAAACAGAAGACTTCCTAATAAAAGATTTCTCACTTACATAAATGTTATGCATTAGGGTGTAACGATATTCAAACTGAATCGAAAAACCGCGATACACCCACGGTGCCCTGGCCCATTGTTGAGGTTGACCTCACTTTACCTTATGTCATAAAACTTGTTGTTCTTGCTTGACATTTGATCAAATAGTATGGGGAGTAACGGTACACGAATTCGTGCATGCGAAGTTTAGGTACGTGTCTTGTAGGCTACCACCATTAACCACCAATAATCGCAATGAGCTACACGTTTGGTTTTTTTGATGAGAAACAAAGGGTCATTTTTTCAATTTCTGTCCAATTTATCACGAAAAATAGTTTTAACGCTCTTTGATGTGGCGTGACAGATCACTGTTAAGGCGCCTCAAATGCAGAGTGCGAGTGAACGCAAGTTCCTCATACTAGTTACAGAATAAACATGAATGAACATCTGAAGGTATGCTGATAGACACAGTTCAACTTACTGAAGCGTATTATATCTCGTGTAAACGCTCAATCAGTATTTCAATGGTGGAAAGAC